GTGCGATTTCAGCTTCAGCGTGAAGGCGTGCTTCATGAGTCTCAGCGTGAGCATCTTTCTCGCGCTGGTGCTCTTGGATGGCAGGCTGCAAGCGAGCAACTTCAGCCTCCGCACGAAGACGCGCTTCGTGGGCTTCTGCATAATCATCTTTTTCATGCTGGAGCTCTTGCACAACGTTCTTCAAACGAGCAATTTCACTTTCCGCATGACGATGCGCCTCCTGGGTTTCGTTGTGTGCATCTTTCTCCCGCTGGTGTTCGTGCACGACCGTTTGCAACTGGGTAATCTCAGTTTCAGCGCGAAGGCGTGCCTCATGAGCTTCGGCAAGGGCATCTTTCTCGTGTTGAAGCTCTTTTACGACGGTTTGCAGACGAGACACCTCGGCATCTGCACGTGTGCGGGCTTCTTTTTCAGATGCGATGGCCTCCGAATTATCTTCTGGGATGGCCCGGTGTTGGTGATCTGACAATTCCCGGCGTGCAGCCTCTAGTTGCTCCATCGTGTGTTCCAGTACACCTTTGGACTGTTCCCCTTCTCGCTCAGCCAAGTCAAGCTCCTTACGCACACGAGACAACTGTTCGACCAGGTCGGCAATATGCGCATCGCGTTCCGCGTCAGATTTGGAGTTGAGCTCCCGCTGTTGTTGAATTTGAGTAGTAAGGATGCCCTTCTGCTCGAGCAGCCCTCCCAAGCGCTCATGGAGACCGTCGATCCCCTCGTTCAGGTATGAAAGGTGCTCCTCATGACTTCCATTAGATATAGCAGGTGGTGGTGGAAGGGTCCGCGAGCGCGGCAAGCCCGACTCGTTCACGATCTGGTATAGTCGAGAGTTGACCTCTGCTAGCTGTTGATCGCCCCCGTTGTCCATACTTCTAGTAGTGGCGGTGCTATTAGAGTGAATCGCGAGTGCGCCGAGCCCGTTTTCAATGTATGCCATGTAAGCCTCAATAGTATCAGTAGGGTTGAGCATGGAACCCTCTGCCGAGAGTTGTGGAACCGGGGCGAAGTCACTGCTGGGATTGGACTGTAGAATCATGTCATGCATCTGCCCACTTAATATCGCCAGTTTTTTCTCGGTATTTTGAATCGTATCGAGGCCGACTGTGGGTTGACTCAAATGAGCCAGAGGACCTGGCACTTGAGGCCCATGCCCGCTGAGTTCGTTTAGATGATCTGACGTTTTGTATAAGCTCCTATCGTCGAAGTCATCGATGCTACCACGGGGGTTATGGCTGGAGAGGCTCTCAGGGGTATTGGGCACGTTGTTCTTCGGATATTTCTTTAACCCTTTATGTGTCATCTGTAGGACGCCGGCAGTATGCTCCAGTAATCGTTTTTGAATCAACTGAACTCTGCTCTCCAGGTTCCAGACTTCCTGCGAAAGCTCCTCGCACTTCCGCGTGCTCACTGCTAACTCCCCATCCGTTTTGTCGAGCGTACTTGAAGCGCCATTGCGACCGAACATGCTCCTGTGACTCCGATTGGATTCGGGAGAACCCCCACATCATATTCCTCACTCGATCTGGAGCTCTTTGAATTATATAGCCGGCTGAGAGACATGGCTGCATCACGAAGTTTCGTCTCCAAAGCTAGTTTCCGTTTGGCAGCCTCCAAGCGACCCGAAAGGAACTTAGACTCTTTCTTCAGGCCTTCAACCTCCTCCAGAGACAGGACCTCATAATGAACACTGTCACCCATAGCGGTTTCGGTCAATAAATACATCGTCACGGGATCATTGCCGTTGAGTAAAGCCGAACTTCTTGGATGCGTCGTGTTCAACTATGGACGAGCGAAGGCGTCAGTAAATGGCGGGCTTGACATGGAGTTTAAGAACCACTTACTGGATTATAGCGCGGAGTTTCCACATTTTTCAGGTTGGGAGCGCCATGGTATCCGTCCATGAGACCCTTCGTTGGGGGAGGTTGTGGAGCGCCAAAGGAGGCGCCGGAAAAATGCCTTGGATCGCCATAGGACGATTGACTGGATCGTAGATCGAAACCACTCATTGCGAATACAAGTATGCAGATAAATCGGCAAGAGAGATTATGCGGGATGGACTAATGATAGAACGTCGTCGCAGAAAGAGTACTAGACAGTATACATCCTGAAGGGGGCACTCCGGGTTTATTGTTACAGGAGGTGGCCGAGATTGAAACAAGTGGTAGAGGGAGGCGAAGTGAAACAGAGTTTCCAGTCGAAGGAGGGACAGGAGCAAGGACAGGAATAAAACGAGATGAACCGGCGGAGTAATAAAGGGAGGAAAGGAAAGAAGGTTGGGGGAGACAAAGTTGAAAGTGAGGACGGAGTCGAGACGATCTGCAAACTAAAGAGTGTCGATGCTCAGCCGCCCAGCCAGTGGACACGAACCATTATGGGACGCTTTTTTAAATCTTCAGCGCCACTAGCGAAGGCAAGAAAAGAAGAAGAGGGAGGAGGGAAAAAAAAAAGCAATTTCGATAGATCCAATGCAATGCGAGTCAGCATTGGACATGGATGAACCATGAAGAAATTATTGGAGTTGTAATATTAGAAAATCAAATTTATAGCGAAGTGATGATAATGATCGCATTTCAACCATCACCTGTACTGGAGAGAGCAATGATTTACAAACCTGTGTCTTTTGCCTTCTCTTCTTCTTTTGTATTTTTCATTAGAACACTCCGAATGAGTGTGAGGAAGGTAACCCCGGCACAATTCCTGTCACCACCATCGAAAGTTGATAGAGACCGCGCAGGTCTCCGAGCAATCAGATTGATCTTCCATGCCCTACTGCAACCCTGATACCCAGAAAGTGATGTATAATGTCCGTTGGAGGCATGTTGGATTGGCTGTAGGTCAGTCAGTACCATCTGAAAGGCTGCTGTTAATATTCTCTGAGACTTTGCTAGGTAAATCGAACGAGCTTCGGATTCGGAAAGGATTAAAATAGTTCTTCGGAAATTGATCTGTGATGAGCCATGGATTGTGAAACACTTATTGCAATTAAAATCCGACTGGCGATACGGGACGATGATTGGACGGCCATACACTAAGTGCCTGAGACAATCTCCAATCCTTGGGATTAAATGCTCGAGTTCAATGGTTCAACTTTCCTTTCCATACTGGAAAATCCAATACAGTCCAAATCCATCAACAGGTCATGCTCCCTCATCATGTGATGGGGACTCACCTGACTAGAGATAGACAAGCAAAAGGTTACATTGAATTCTCTCTTGCCAGCTACTACGATGTACTCTGCTAGTATCTGCACCCAATTATCGGGCTTCTTTAATTTAAACGGATGCTCAAACCCCGCAGTCGATCTTCGGCCCTTAAGCCTCGGGTTGATTGAACCCCAATAATGGGGGACTGACTCGATACGACTGTTCTCAGTGCCCTAGCCCAGATACTAACCTAGGTTCGTTCTGATTATCTCTGGGGTACTTTTTACTAATGTTGAATTGTGCCACATGTGCGCTGTAACCCCCGTCGGGTCATTCCCAACGGCGTCCTCCGGTTCTTCAAGAATATCGACGTATATTTGACTACTAAAGATCACTTCCTTCCATCTTACAGAGCAGTTATGTTAAATAGAACTGACTAGCCTTCTCATAATGGCCTCCAAATCACAAGATGCACACCATACCTCAACCCCGTCGGATTTCCCACCCTCAGGGCCTGGATATAAGGTCTACAAGCGTCGTTTCTTGGGACTGGCCCAGTTGGTGTTGTTGAACATTGTGGTCAGCTGGGATGTATGTGATCCTTAATCTCGTAATCACCAGTGCGACTATACCGTAGCCTTTGCATAACAAACAGCAGCATGTTGGACTAAAATCTCATATCACAGTGGTTAACCTTCTCCTCCATATCCACCACTGCCTCTCAGCATTTTGGCGTCTCCGAAAGCGCAATCAACTGGATGAGTACAGGATATCTATTTGCCTTCTGTGCCGCTAGCCCGTACGTCTTCTTGCATCCGTATTCCACCATGACATGAAACTGACGATGTGTACCATATATGCCAGTGTCGTCATTTTCACGCTCAATAAAGGTGGCCCCAAACCAGCCATTATCGCCACGTCCACCCTCCTGTTAGTGGGGAATTGGGTTCGATATGCAGGCACAAAAGCCCGTGGAGGCATGTTTGGTGTTGCCATGTTCGGCCAGATCCTTATCGGTTTGGCTCAGCCGTTCTGTCTCAGCGCTCCCACACGGTACAGCGACCTATGGTTCTCGGACCAAGGGCGCACCAGTGCAACGGCCGTGGCCACATTAGCCAATCCATTGGGAGCAGCTCTGGGCCAGTTAATCGACTCCTTCTGGGCGACGAAGCCCAGCGAGGTTCCCGATATGGTTCTGTATATCTCAGTCATTGTAAGTGTAACCCCAAAAATGGAGGAGAAGCAAGACAAAAACACCAAGTCTATCCTGGAATGACCTGCTTTCTTCTAACAAGGGCCAATGTAAAACTACAGGCAACAATCGCCGCTATCCCCTCCTTTTTTCTCCCATCAAAACCCCCAACACCACCCAGTGCATCCTCATCGACAACCCGCACGCCTCTCCTCCCAGCAATGGCCCAACTTTTTAAGACGCTAGAGTTCTGGCTCATCCTCATCCCCTTCTCAGTTTATGTCGGCTTCTTCAACAGCGTCTCCTCCCTCCTCAACCAGATCCTCGCCCCCTATGCCTTCACCGAAACCGAAGCCGGAATCGCAGGCGGCATCCTCATCATCGTCGGTCTAATCAGCTCCGCTATCGTCTCCCCAATCACAGACCGCTGGAAACACTACCTGACCACTATCCGCATCCTAGTCCCCATCGTAGCAGTCTGCTACATCGGTCTGATCTTCGCCCCACCCAGCCCGGCGGGCATCGCCCCGGCCTACGTCGTCTGTGCCCTTCTCGGCGCCTCCTCCTTCGCCCTCCTCCCCGTCGTTCTGGAGTATCTCGTCGAGATCACGTATCCGTTCTCCCCCGAGATCGGGAGCACAATCTGCTGGACGGGCGGCCAGCTCCTCGGGGCCGTCTTCATTCTAGCCCAGGATGCACTCAAGTCAGGTCGTGACGCTGACCCGCCGGAGAACATGAGAAATGCGCTCATCTTCTCGGCTGTTATTGCTTGTGTTGCGGTGCCGTTTCCTATCTCGATTGGACTGTTTGGGAGGAATGTCAGACGTCGAAGATTGGATGTGGATAGAGGGGTTGATCTGGAGGGTCGTGAGTATACTGATACTGGTCTTGCGGGGAATGATACCTTTGCACCTGGGACTGAGTCGAAGTCTGGTTTTAAGTTTTGGTCCAGAAACAATAGTTAGCAGAACGTAGCTTCCTGGGTTAACCCAGACTTTTTTTGGTTTTAGCGGTTGTTGTTGTTCGTACTTAGGAGATATGTATATAACTGTCATGTATATGGCCCAGGATTGGAGGGCCCCAACGGGAAAGAGTACGCGTGGCATAAACCTACTAGTGCAAGCCCGTCTCTGGCAAGACCCAGTGGGAACCGGAGGTAGCAGCAGCAGTCTAAGAGACAAATGCCATTCGTTCTAAACACAAGGAAAATTAAGAAGCACAGTTCACAAACAGGCAAATACCCAGCTATCTGTACATACACAGCGAAGGACGTCATTCCCCCATCCTCCGCCACAAATCCCACATTGGAGAGGAGTCTATTCCCATTCTATGCGAGACACTTTAGGCCGACAAGCGGAAACAGCCAGCCGTCATGACGTTTTTTATTCTGTGAGTTCCCTCCACAGCTCCCCCTTCGTATCTCATCCGGATGGTCCATACATGATGCGCCATCGTTAAACTCGTTGCCATTGAACCATAAGAGAAACGTGGCGGGAATTGTCCCGGGGCGAGACGCTTATTTGAGGGACTTCCAGAGCTTGGGGGCGGCGCACTCGGAAGCGCAGTGGGCAAGGTGGAAGACTGGAGCAGGGGATGTCAGTTTCGTTATAATAATTACTTTTGAGGCATTTGACATGCGTGGACATGTATGGTTGGCACAGCCGGCAAAGTAAAAGTCCTAAGGTAATAGAGAATAGAGAAGAAGTCACTTACACTCCTCAACACAGTCCTCCTTGGGGCCCTTGTAGTCGGCGTCCTCCTGCTGCTGAGTGACACGCTCGACACACTCATCGAAGTGGTGCTTGTATGGGGCGCACTGAGCGGAGTTGGCACATTCTAATACCGTCAACGTTAGTCACCGCAAATACGAGACATGAAATTATGATGACAAAAGCTGGTTTTGTGTCAAAGACATGTGCGATGCGGACAAATGGAAATCGGGCATATATTGGCCGAATCGTGCCATTGCCGCGCAACATGATCTAACGATGCGAAGATGAAGACGCGAGATCTAATCTGAACAAGCGACTCACCCTCCTCGAGCTGGGGCTTGATGTCCTCAGGCTCCTCTTCTTCTTCCTCTTCCTCTTCTTCCTCTTCTTCCTCCTCCTCCTGCTCGGGCTCCTCCTCAGCAGGCTCCTCAGGAGTCTCCTCAGCGGACTCCTCGGCCTTCTCGGCGGTCTCTTCGCTAGTCGACTCCTCGGTCACAGCGGGCTTCTCCTCGGTCTCCTGGCTGCTGGGCTGCTCAACGTTCTCAGCGGGAGCCTCAGCCTGGGCCTCGGGGAGGCTGAAGGAGGACATGATGTCGGAGAAAAAGTCGGAGATACCCATCTTGATGTGTGTGGAAGTATCAATTGAGGGGATTGGAGGGCCGGGGTTCCAAAATGTGGCGGGTACAAGCGGCAGCGACGAGCGAGGTTGATGAGGTTGATGGTTTTACGAAGCTTTGGCTCTGCCGTCCAGGAAAATCGGAACAGTCCGGCCGCCGGCGAATGTTCAATTATCGCACACGTGATTGGCTGACGCTTCGGTAGGGGATTGACCAATGCAGTAATGCTATTTTTAAGAAATAACAATCTGATACTGAGTCTTTCTAGTTGCTACAAATGACTAAAGTTGTTTATCTGTTAATATATGTCTTAAATATAGGTTCTCTGATCCTAGTTGGAAAAAAAAAAGCCAATGGTGTTTGAACACGCTAGGTACCAGATCGAGCCTTTAGCAATAGCAAACAATAGATGTGCTGTACAAGAACCGGTTGGTGATAGTCATTATAATATAATAGCTTCGCGCTTTGCGCTCCACTATAATTCATTGAAATAGAAAACGAGAAAAGGAAAGAGAGATGAGATATATCAAAGCAAAATGCGTCTATTTAGGTCCAGGGATTAATATTCTTTCTCAGCTAGCACGACGTAACCTTTCTTCGAGCTCATCAGCGACACTCTGCTGCTGAACTTCTTCGTAGCCTGGCGGCGGTCCCATTGGACACGATTCTGAAGTAGCACGGCTGTCCTGAGAGTTTAATGAAGGATGCTGATTGTCATGGTTAGCGCCAGTCGACTCATGTACTGGGCCGGAGTAAGCAGGCAATTGGTCCAGATGAACAGTAGACATATCAACATTCCCAACACCTCGGTTTTGTCGAGTGTTCTCAAGAGCCACTCGTAGGCGTTCTTTGATCTCTTCGAATTTGTTGTGATAATCGAACGCGCCTCCCTCCTTGAAGGTCACTTTCAACAGTAATGCTGGCAATGATGAGGGTATTCCTCCACCAGGTACCGGCTGAACAAGAGACTGCCACACATTTGCACCAAAAAGGGGGGCTGATACATGAGTATCATGCATGTGAAGAAGAGGTGCAGAGAATGATTGGAAGTCATTGGACTTCTTGGCAGGTATATATACGACCTAAATGAAGTTATACTGTAAGCTCAGGCAAAGATGTGCAAGAGGCTACCAAAAATTATGCCGAAAGAGGAACCGATATGAGGGGAAAGTACCCGATGATTTGTGAGATAAATTCGGCCTGAATCACTTTGCAATGATATAGAATCCTTGCCTTTATATGAGTCGAGTGGTTTCAGAGAAAGGCAAGTGCGAGGTGGGGACGTATATATCAAATGCTCATGAGGAAGACGGACAAAGCCTTCGTGCTCATGTAGCATCACCCAGCTGCTCGGCAGAGTAGGTTAGAATCAATCCCATATATTATCATATTCCTTCACCTCTCGGAATTGGGCAGTAACGATATAGGGACAGTTGCCCATAAGGACTAAAAAAGTGGGGGCTGAAGCCAAGTGGGAAAAGATAAAGGAAAATAAATTTGTATAAGGTCATGCCAGATACATGCCCGGAGGTCAAGAATATCTGGGAGCGAGAAGTATGCACCAACAACGACGAAGGCTTATGGAAGTTGTGAGGGGTCATTCACATACTTGATCGACATCTTTACCCAATCCGCTCCGTTAGCAAGTCCAGTATGTAACCAGTAGCGCCTTAACCACGGAATACCGTGCAAAGTGTAGGAGACTGATCGTCACCGATTCTGATTAATATCGGTTGAGAACTAGTGGCCTGCAGGTTAGGCTAGGGTGGTGCAGACAATATATCCTGACAATTGATATCGTTGAAACTCTGAATCGGCAAAAGGGCGAGACGTTGGTCGACGCGGCCTGTTGGATACTGATTGATAAAGAAAAAGAAAATTGGCCAGGAAGATGACACTAGTGGGTATAGCTAGTCAATCCGTAGTAGACCCTAGCAACTCGTAAGGGTATATCAATTCAGGTACTCGGTGGATTTTGGATTAGACCCGCTTAACGTTGGCAATCGCCACGCTGCAACGTGGAGCAGCGGATGTATGTAGGAATGGGAAGTGGATCGCCAAACGTCTGTCGTCGGTTTGGGGTGACAGCAAAAAAAGAAAAAAATAAAAATAAAAATAAAAAAAAATAAAATTTCAAAGTTAGTCCGTTGAGTATAATCTACTTTAGACTTGGGGGTAGTGATACTAGTGACGGTGATAAGGATGTGAAAAAAGAGTTGGGGTTACTTTTTTCTCCTCCGCGGGGCTGATGTCAGGCGGAGAAACCCAGGGGGAAAAAAAAAAAAAAAAAGGAGATGGAAGAGGCTCTCGGAACCCAAGACCATACAGCGATGTTCATACTTTAGTAGTATCCCAGAACTATTTACCATGGTAACTATGGAAATCCGTCATGCAATTTTAAGGCACAGATTAGATCTCACTTGAATACCTTATAATATACCCCATACAACCTAATGCGCATTCTCATCGTCAATCTGTTTAGAACTGTCTACGATCAGGTCGTGACTAACCTAACCTCCATGGATATTATGCCACCGAGGGCAGGACCTTAAGGTCGTACGCCTATCAACTGGAATGTATTCTACTTTTTTGAGTACGTAGGTAATTATTTACAAGTGGACGGAACTGGAGATCAGAATGTTCTAGGCTTGATGACTGTACAGATGGACTCCTGACTCGAGGTAGCTACTATAGGCTATTATTGAGATATTGTTTCATCCCGAGCATAGAACATAGAACCAAGAAAAGAAAAGAAAAGAAAAGAATTGGGACATACTACTAGTATTTACTTTACCACTTCGACTTATATACTCCGAATACTCCTACAACCGAGTAATGAAGTGATTTCTTGAGAACAAATGAGGTTTCTCGACCCTTACCCCACAAGTTCCGTGAAGTCGACTCATGTTCCGTGGTTATGTATAGATTCCGCTAATACTTATACCAGATCTTCCTAGCAATTGAGCACACCTTCTACAACCGGTGCAGCTCCTGTATGTGCTACTACTAATTCCCTGACTTCCTATGGGTGATATTCGGGATATATTCCTGTGGTGTGACCTGGTACATGTACAAGTTAACCCATCAATTGGTTCGTGGTTCTAGAACCTGCTACGCGGAAATGACATAAACTTTCCTTTAGCTTTACTGTTCTGACATCTAACTGGAGTTGCGGTCGGACCGTTTAAATTACAATGGGTTTACCTCACTTTCTCCCCCACCCACCACACCCAGCATTTACTAGTACTCTCCGGAGTACTCCAGTTCCATGTCATCCATGGAGCCAAGGCCTCTGTCACATGGCTCTGGTTGAACTCTCAACTTTTCTTCCCCCCCAACAAAGTGTTCCTCTGGACACATGAACAGACTTGAACCCAACCTGCGCAATCAGTCCGGAAGGGTTCGGTACACTGTGAAAACCCCAGGTAGACAGTCGGCCTCTCCATTGCTCATGATCTCTTGAAAACTAACTTCATTGGGTTTGTGTCATAGATAGGCTGGTAGTAGTTTATGTCTCGCTCGATCGCAATCACGCGCGCTCGCCATATTATCAAAATATAGCACCACTGAGCTATAAAAACCTACCTGACCTTTGCTTCTAGCCCACCGGGGTATCGGCCTTTCCTCTCAGCCGTTAGGATTATCACCAAACCCTCTAACAGAATCATGGTAAAGCAACCGTATATCCCACCGTTGATCGGGTGGCTGTATGACCTGGTTCTATGGCTTTTTTCCGTTCTCGTAGACCTCTTCTTTCGGGAGGTGCATCCGCGCGGCTCCTGGAAAATACCTAGAAAAGGCCCAATGATCTTAGTTGCAGCTCCTCATGCGAACCAGGTAGGACTGTTTGGTCAATGTCGCTTTAGACTGCGGTGTGCAAGCTGGCTAATTATTTGGCGCTATTAGTTTGTGGATTCGTTGATCCTGATGCGTGTAATGCGCAGTGAAGCTCGCCGCCGGATTTCATGGCTCATCGCAGAAAAGTCGTTTCGTCGCAAATTCATCGGCTTGTTGGCCAGGTCTATAGGCACTGTACCTGTGGCCAGAGCAATGGACAATATGAAACAGGGCAAGGGCACAATTTATATGCCCGATCCTATCAACCAGCCTACTTTGATTCGCGGGGTAGACACCGATTTCGAAGGACCAGGTTTTGAGAAGGACGGAACAATAGCTCTCCCTACCATCAATGGCACTTCACATAATGCGACTATCGCTGAAATCCGCGGGCCAGCAGAGTTAATCATAAAGAAGCCGTTCAAAGCTAAGGATCCACTCTATCAGCTTACTGGGAGGAAAGACATCATGGACGATGGGCAAATCATTGGGGATGCGTTAGATACGGACCCCAAATTTAAAGGCTCAAAATTCAAGGTGTCCCCTCATGTGGACCAGACAGCTGTATATGAAGCAGTATTTGCTAGACTTAATGCTGGAGGATGTGTTGGTATTTTCCCCGAGGGTGGTAGTCATGATCGTACAAACTTGCTTCCGTTAAAAGGTATTTCTATGTATTCGACCCTGCGAACCTTGACCCTTGTCTAACCCTGCTTAGCTGGTGTTGCTTTGATGGCTCTTGGTACGTTGGCAGATAATCCCGATTGTGGCTTGAAGATTGTGCCCTGTGGAATGAATTATTTCCACGCCCATAAGTTCCGCTCGCGTGCAGTTATTGAGTTCGGAAATCCCATCGAAATCCCACGGGAGATAGTCGAGCAATTTAAAAGAGGAGAGAAAAGAGAAGCCGTTGGTGCTCTCTTGGACACCATATATCAGGGTCTGGTTGCGGTTACTGTGACGAGTCCTGACTACGAGACGTTAATGGTGGGTGGTTATCTGCTCAAGTTATGATATCTGCCGCTAACGAATCCTTAGGTTATTCAAGCTGCCCGTCGCCTGTACAATACCAAAGGGAAGAAGCTCCCGCTCCCCATGGTTGTTGAACTCAACCGACGTCTTGTGAAAGGATATACGCATTTTAAAGACGACCCGCGAATTGTGCATCTGCGAAAGTCTATTGCAGAGTATAACCGAGAGTTACGTCTTCTGGGAATACGCGACCATCAGGTTGGATATGCGAGGTTTTCATTCATCAAAGTCATTTTCACTTTGATCTCTCGCCTAATCAAGTTATCTCTTCTTACGATTGGAACACTACCTGGCTTGCTCCTCTTCACCCCTGTCTTTATTACAACCAAGGTCATCTCCAAACAGAAATCTCAAGAGGCATTAGCTGCCTCTACAGTCAAGCTACAGGGGCGGGATGTTATGGCAACCTGGAAACTCCTCGTTGCCCTTGCGTTTGCCCCAGCTCTCTACGCGTTCTATACGGTGGTTTTCACCATATGGGCCTACCATAATCGGATTCAAAACACTGTCCCAGAATGGATGCCGCTGTGGCTGATTGTGCCCATTGGCATGGTTCTGTTCCCTACTATCACTTTTGCGGCCCTTCGTATCGGAGAGGTTGGCATGGATATACTGAAATCCCTGAGGCCACTCGTGTTGTCCTTGAATCCGTCCTCTGCCAACTCGCTGGTGAAACTTCGTCAGAAGCGTGCAGCCCTTGCCCAACAAGTCACAGATGCCATCAACACATTGGGACCGGAACTGTTCCCTGACTTTGATGCTGCGAGGATCGTCACCGATCCTTTCCGCGAGATCAATAAGCCGGCTGAAAAGGCCGATGGGGAGCCTGCCCCGGCTCCAGAGATTCGGAGAACTACCACTACAGATTTTGAGCGAGGCTCCATCTCACAAGAGCCTCTTCCCCGGAATGAGTCATTCCATAACCTTGCAAACATCGGCTTCTTCTCCACCCGGCCCTCAAGCCGTAGTCGCAGCCGTAGTAGCTCATTTGGAGGTCGGCCTGGTTCTTCTGGACAACAACTGAGGCCACTTAGCCAGCTTACCTCAAGTGATGGCTTTGAGCAAGTTAGTTCAAAGATCCGAGACGCCATGCGGCAGCGCGGTGAAGAGCGCCGGCGCCGGCACAGCGAAGACAGCAATAGCTGGGACA